TTACTGAAAACCTTTACCCCCATCCGCTGGGGCCAGCCGGGCCCTACCCCCCCGCCGCGGGGCTTCGGTTCAGCCCCTGCAGACATTCCTGGTCCGTGGGGGAATGGGCCTGGACTGTGGTTTGCGGGACCCTGTCTGCTTGCCAAGTGCTGACATTCCCAGGCCCAGCCAAGGGCGGCGGGGGAGCACGCTGCACTGTCCAGCACCAGCCTCTCACCCCCCACGTGGCCACAGACTGGCCCACCGGGCCGGCTCCCCTTCCCCAGAGCAGCGGATGTATGGGGACAGGCTGGGTTCCCCCTGCCCACAAGTCTCCTGCAGGACACAGGCCGGGCTGGAGCCCACGGAGCCTGGTCATTCGTCCCACGGGCAGGGGCTCCCATCCTTTGGGCTGCAGCCCTGATACCTGCAGGCAGGCAGGGACCTGAGTGCCCTGGAACCAGCCGGGCCTTTGCCTCTGCTGAGCCCCCAGGGCTTTCACCCCCTCCGAGGGACCCTCCTCCAGGCAGTCCTGAGCATGGGGAACTGCAGCCCATACACTGAGAGCGGACATCGGCCCTGCCTGGTAGCCATGTCCCTGGGGTGAGCAGGAGGCTGTGCTAGACGAGCCCCTTCACCATTCACCTCCCTCACCTGGTCCCTGCAGGACCTGCTGCTGGCCAGGGGACCCGAGGCTGGAGCTGCCATTTCTTGGAAATCCCATGATGAAGCGCCCGTTGGAGCTGAGCCCGCTCTCCCCTGGGACGGAAGCAGCCCTCGCTGCTGTCCAAAGCAGGGGCTGGCAGGCTGCCTGCAGGGCTGTGTCCTGTGTGCTGGGGGACGAGGGCTGTCTGGTGATGCAGCTGCGGTCAGGGAGGCTCATCGTGGCCTCAGCTTCCCAGCCTGCGCACAGTGGCTCTAAAGATCCCCCCTCCTGGCCAGGCCGGGCTGGTGGGATCGCTATTTGGCCTGGGCTAGGCAGCTGCCCGTGGAGTCAGTCAAAGAGCAAAGAAGGGCACGCTCACGGCATGCAGGACCTGGTGCTTTCCTTGCACGCAGCTCCCTGGGACCCAGGGCGCAGCCACCTTCCCTAAGCTGAGACCTACCCAGCCCTTCTGGGCAGCCCCCATGCGACTAGAGCGGAGGAGATCAGTGCGGGGTGGGTGAGGCAGCAGATACAGTCCAGAAAACTCCCAAAGAGCTGCACCTGAGACACTCCAGATGAGGCTCTATCCAGCTTGTCAGCCCAGGCAGGGCTGCATCAGTGTGGCGCCCACTGCAAAGCTCCTGGTTGAGGAAGTCCAGTGCCTTGAGTGTGCTCAGCTCAGGTTTCCTGCAGCCCCGGTCTCGTGTACCTGGCGCTGGGGGATAGGAACATGACACCAGGGTCCCAGCATCCTCCCCTCCAGCCGGCCGCAGGCTGGGCTGCTCCCAGGCAACGGGGATCAAAGAGGTCAGTGGATGCAGGCAAAGAGGCCACAGGTCCAGGGAGAAATTTCAGCTGAGTAGACCCCCTGGGGCAGTCCAAATCACACATCGATTTTGTCCTCCTCCCAAAAGGGCGGAAGGTAGCCAAGGCCGAATCCACACCAGTTTGTTTCTCCGA